TGATTGGATGGCTTCTAACAGACACAGTCCTCATAGTTTTGCTCATCGCCCATCTCTGGCAGCTGGCAGAAGCATAGGTGACATCATGACCAGGGAGTGGGAGCAGCTATGTCTGTGTTGCGCAGAAAACCTCTGACACTCCTGGAAGCGTTGGAGGTAGCTGAAGGCTCCATTTCTAATGTCTAGATTTACCGGATATGTTAAGCCAAATGCGTATAGGGTGCTGACTTTTAGGCCTGGTTCACAGGTGTATTTTGACGCAATAAGCAAAACGCATGTCGCTGGAAAAAGTACATGAGATTTCTTTTGTTTTTGTGTCATGTCATATTACAGCTCGTTTTGGCCCAATAGACTCAATAGGAAACACTTGAAAACACCTGTTTGCTGTGGTTTTTTTGCGCACGTTTTACACGTGTTTCCTCATTAACACTTCAATGAGCTACAATCTGCTTACAAAAAAGCATGATTTGATTCATGCACATATAATGCTCGTAAAAACGTGCAATAAGCGCACCAAGCTATACAGCAGAAACGCACACAAAAAAACGCTGTTTCCTAGGTGTAAACCCAGCCTTACCTCTTCTTCCTCCAGTCCCTGGTGCCTGAAGAATGTTAGGAAGACAGCATTGTGCAGTACAGTGGATCACATTGATAGGCCACCCATGTTTTGCCTGGTTTCTAGTGTGGAATGTTAGTATGAAAAAAGAACACTTTCGGTATTATACTAGCAGTAATGTATAAATAGGGATGAGGATTTTTCAATAAACGCATAACTGGTCTAAAATGCTAGCTCCCTTGCTGTCTGCGGCTTCAATACTTCTGGTCAACAGACATAGAACAGGTATGTAACCACAAGTGTAAAAAGTCTCAACTTTTTTTTATCTCTGTACTTGTTCTGAGATTTGGAAATCATTGAAGCCTAAAAATCAGCATGGCAACCAGGTGACATTTCTTTTTTCAGAAAGAGAAGACAGAAATGGAAGCCTCCATATTTACATCTTAACAGATGTACTTTTAGTTCAGCAAAGATCTATTGTTCATATTAAATGAATAGCCAAAGACGGTAAACTGGTGTTCAATAACCTGTATCTGCTCCCTAATAACAGACACTTGTAGTAACTTGTAACATTTCTCTATCCTAAGAACTAATAGCTGCTTCCTTTCACAAGCTGCCCCTATTTTTGGCTGCTCTCCTCCCCGGACATGTTTGTGAAGGATATGAATGGATAATTTCAGCTACCAGATTAGAATACACTGACCAAAATTAATCTGGCCACATATTTTGCATGTCAGAACATGGCTACTGAAACAGCTGTTGCCCTGGGGAACGGAGAAATGTTTTTGTAAACAGACCACATATACATTGGTGGGTATGGGAGAAGGACAGTAAACCCGTCGATCTTGACATTGCAAAGCATTTTGGGAAAAGGCGTTTGAACAGCTGGATTTGACTGAGCCAGTTTTAGAACATGTCTGTTTGCCTAACTTATTTTTGTCTCCTCAGTCTAAGTTACTTCGGTTTTAAGGCTGGGTTCCCACCTATGCGGTTTTCCGCGCTTTCGTACTCGCGGAAAACAGCTCAAGCAGGGAAATGCCATTATTTTCAATGTGTATGGTTCCCATATGTGCGGTTTTCCGCGAGTACGAACGCGCGGGAAACCGCCCTACGCCCAAAGAAGTACATGTACTTCTTTGGGGCGTTTTGGTCGGGCGGTTCCATTGGGATACAGCCAAGTATCCCTCGGAAACGCGAGTTTGCGATTCGCGGGAAAAAAACCGCGCGGAAAACGCGCATATTCAGTCCGCCCAGGTGGGAACCCAGCCTAACTGTTAGACAAAATGACAGTTGGAATTGGATGATGACGGCTGTATTTTTTTGGACTAGATTTTAGTTTGACAGCAACATCCTATTGTGTAGCGCTATACAGGACCTCCATACTTTAACATCAGTGGGTCATTTCTTTTGGTTCTGTCTGTGGGCTGAACAAAAAGTCAATTTATGCTAAATAGCATGGGCGGAGGAATCTCCCACTACAACTATTTTAGTGTGACAGTCGGTGCCTAGCAATGTCTGAATAATGTGATGACCACTGTTCAGCCAAAGATTTTCAGCCCAGCTACTTCAACAGTAATCGACTTTTGTTGAGCCGACATGGCCAAGCACAGTAAGAATTTGACAGGCGTTGGACAGAGTTTCTACAGTGTATGGCCAACCTTCATGATGGTAGCACTGATTGGAGAGGAGTGAGTGACAAGTGAGAGACTGCCCTGTTACCCATCTTGTGGGTGGTACAATAGGTGGCATTACCACTGCCTTAGACCTAAAGAAACGGCCACTGCTGACCCCTCATCTCCTAATGAAAATGCTAGCTGTCTTGCTCGAACACTGGTTTCAATACTTTTTTTGTCGATGTCTGCGAGCAGGTATGCAATTCAGGTGTTTTGATTTCACTAACTGAAGGCTTTTGCTGGACCAGTGGCTCACAAAAGGTTAAAGCCAAAGACAGCCAGGAAACTAGCATTTTCATAAAATGTTAGAAATGGCATTCATTATATTTCTTTCCGTACAAGCTCATTTTAATGTCCTTTACAGACATTTAAAGGAGAACTTTGGGGTTAAGGCTTTTCCCCATAGTTCTCCTTATGGTAACGGGAGGACACAAACTAGCGTCCTCCCGTCACCCTAGGCTCAGTATACCGTGAGCTGTAGCTTGCGGTATACTGAGACGCCGCAGTATACCGCTAGCTGCTGCTCGTGGTATACTAAGACGCCGCAGCTGAAGTGGATCCCGACAATTATGTCTGGATCCGCCCAGCTGCGTGACTGACAGCTGGCTCTGCCTCCCCCGTCCGTTCCTCCAGTCAGCGCTGGCGGAGGGGGGAATCCAGCCCCTCCCCTGTCACGGCAGAGAGCCGTGACAGGATCGAGAGGTGAGCGAACGCCGGTATGTGTTCGCTCACCTCCCGATCTACTGAGCCGACCTGTGACACTCATTGTCACAGGTCGGCTAGAACTATGAGGTGAGTGAAAAGCACTCACCTCATAGTTCTCATTTTAAGAACATTTCTCTCATCTGTTCCTGCTCTGGAAGTGACATGACAGGCCTCATAGCTGAGCTGAGAATGCCAGGCTACAGAGAGTTTTCCTGCGTTACTCTGCTTGAGTAAACCAATGGTATTACTGCCACGAGGGAGCTGTAATGTCCCGAACACCAATGCAGGAGATGTGCCAGTGCTCTAAAGAGGGGAACAAACGTGAAGTTACCTTGCCGCACTCCTTACCGGAAACCAATTCAGTGCAGGGGGTGCTTGTAATGACAGCGGATGGCGCCGCCAGATAATATCAGTAGATGAATGTCACCAGCACACTAAAGGTATTGTAATCCAAAGTGCTTGTTAATTCAAAACCTCATCGGAACTAGCGCTTTCGGGGCCCCTTCATCAGGCTCCAAAGAAGCCACAACCTGCAAACCGCATTGCTGCTACAAAAGACAACGTTTTTGGTCACATCTTTTCTATCCAAATATGATTTTAAAAAATTAAATCGGGGTTCTTAACCTTGTTAATCTGAGGAAGAAAATTGTTACTGTGCTTGGACCCAAGAGATTTTTTACTAAAATGTCAGGAAAGCCATAAAAAATCATTAACACTGACAATATAAAAATTATTTTAAAAAACGCATGCAAACAATAATTAATACAGCTCTGTATTCAAAATACATTAGGTCCCCCATTCACACCTAGGAGTTTTATCGCAAACTGTAAAATGTATTTTGCTGGAAAAAGTACCTGAGCTTCTTTCGGGCAGTTTACAGCACGTTTGGCCCCTTAGACTTCAATGGAAATGCCTGGAAACGCGCAACACAAGCATTTTGCACATTGACGTGCGTGTTTTTTGTCCATTGACCGCAATGTGTTTGAATCTGCCAGCTAAGACATGCGTTTTCATGTGTGTGCATCTAACCCGCGCAAAAACACTTGATGTCTAGGTGTGAATGCAGGCTAAAGAGGTAGGTTGGGGGACTGCATATGGGAACCACTGCAGAACAAGTGGCGACCCATCCCAAACACATCTGTGACCCAATCAGGGTCCTGATCCACAGTTTCCACTGAGACAGAGTATGAAAGTATTGGAACTCCCTGTCAGGTTTTTATTGTGGTCTGTGTACTATTTGAAGAGGTCTGTGCCCTACTGACCTTAAAGACCAGTACCGAAAGTGATGAGAAATCAAAAAATTCACAGTTGTCAATGGAAAATGAATTGAGGGGAAATCTTCCAATAGGGACACCTGTCCTGGTTACATCTAAGAGGGGGTTCCCCTCCATTCAGAGAGATTTATGCTTGCTTTCTTTGAGACGGAAATTGAAGGGCATGTGCTAAATGTAACACAGAAGAGAATATTCTTATTCTATCTAAAACTAAAAAAAAAACGTTTTGGCTTTTATTATACATTTTTATTTTATATTTTTACAAGTTCATGATCCATTAGAACTGACTTTCTAATGAGAATAGATCTGAACAGCTGATCACTTTATTTAATGTTTATTTCAAACCGGAATGCCATAGGGTACTGTAATAGCGGAAAAGGTAATGTGTATTGCCTCTTAGACCCCATTCACACTGAGCGATTTATCGCGGGTATTTACCGAACGATATCGCTCTCCAATGCATGGCAATGGGGCTCTGTCCTTCGCTGTCGCGCGTCGCTACAGCAGGACCCTTTTTGGAGCGGATTTTGCCGCGATTCTAGTTTGCTCAATGCAACCATTTGGCCGATATCGCGCTACAAACTCGCGATATTGTGCAAAATGCAAATCGTGCGACAAACGCGCGATTTGCGAATCGCTCAGTGTGAATGGGGCCTTACTCTTGTTTGTGTGTTCTGAATAGAGGATACTACAGACTGTTTAAAGCCTAGTAGTAAAATGTGTTCGTGAAATGGTATAAATTCACCCCCTGCTGGCTGTTCTAAGCATTTGTGTTCCTGTCTTCTCCTGCAGGTCTGTGCCATTATTGGAGGAACATTCACTGTAGCTGGGATATTGGACTCTTGTATTTTCACTGCCTCTGAAGCCTGGAAGAAGATCCAGCTTGGAAAAATGCAGTAGGAACTGTTCGAGTTCCCGACATCATCCAAAAAGCATGAAGAAGAGTGGAAGACTTTAAAAAGAGTATTGAGTCATTAGGAAATTGCTATTTTTATTATGTGTAACAAAGACCTAAATATACAAAAATATGTTGAATATATCATGACAAGTCTGGTCAGGCCTTTTAGGATTCCTAGCAATGATCTGAAGAGTAGGAGTTACATATATTGTATGTTCATAAATTAAATGTACTTCTAGAACATTTTAGATATTTAAAGGGGGGTCCAGCTTTATTATGATGCTGAGTTGGCTATATTACATACTTAACCAGTAGATGGCTTGTTAAAGGACTAGTTACATCCATGGTAAGAAGCTGTTCCTTCTTTTGATGTAACTAGTTTTTTCAAGTGGTAGGCTTGATATTTATATCCGCTCTTCCACAAATTCATACCGCCCAACAATCTTCAATGTATTGAGGGACCATGTTAAATGGGAACTCCAGTCATTTGCATGGCTAGTCTTTATTTCTTTCAGTACCAACGAATATGCTATAGCCTGAAATATGAGGCTCGCTTTGCTAAAGCAACAAGTATTGCCCTAGAAAACTCTGCCACCTAAAACTTTGAAGTTGTCTTAACACTTTTTTTTCTAAGCACACTCAATTCATTAAATATGATTCTACTTTACCTGCAAGTGGGGGAGACTGCTCTGCTTTTCAGCTTACCTAATTTTAAGCATCCAGTGCAGACACTCCTACTGCCAACTAAATTTAATTATAAGGATTATGCATTTGTCTGGAGTTCCTCCTTAAACAACATAACTGAGAAGCCTCAGATAGAAGCTGCTAAAAATCTGGTCTACATGCTGATTCCAGAGCAGTGACACCATCAGTTCATTTTCACTGCTCTAAACCTAATACAGTCTGAGAGTTAAGATTGACAGTTTGTATCTGAAGCTTCTCATGCAGGTATTTTGCTATGCAGTGTATTCCACATGGCTCCTTTTCTAGTCCTCTTCTAGATCCACCTGATCACACTTTTTTTTCAGTCTGATGGGAGATCTGCTAGTTGTCACTTTCACGTCTATGAACACTTGGGAAGTTTGCACAGAATAACTGAATAGCTGTCTCCACTGTGTGTAGGCAGAGGTACTCATTACACTTGAACAAACTGTAGATGTGAAACCTTGGGTGATGTTATCCGGGCTGTATGGTATCCAGTGTCTTACTACCTGGATTCCAAAGCATCTTTTTCTGTGGACATAGTAATTTGTGCCATTTTAAAGGGACTAAAGTAAGAGAGGCCAGGGTTTCATAACTTGCAGTACAAGCACATTATGTTCGATACAATTAAGGGGTTTGTATATTGATGTTTGCAAACCCTATTGATGCATATCTTTTAGATATTACCATTTTGTTGCTTGATATACATATTTCCTTTTTACATACTTGGAATATAGTTTCCTATTTTTGGGATGAATGGTCAAGAGTTGGATTTACAGGGTTATTCACAAAAGGGTGAAGAGTTTGGAGAAGGCAGGAGGAGTGAACAATCTAGGACATCATAGCTGATTTGGAAAAAGTCTCCAATTCAGCTCACTTTCCAGTTCAGCTATGTTGTCCTAGATTGTTCACTTCTCCTGCCTGCTCCATTCTACACATACAGGGTTAGTCACAAAAGGATGAAGAGTTTGGAGAAGGCAGGAGAAGGGAACAATCTAGGACAGCATAGCTGAACTGGAAAGTGAGCTGAATTGGAGAATTTTTCCAAATCAGCTATGTTGGCCTAGATTGTTCACTTCTCCTGCGTTCTCCAAACTCTTCACCCTTTTGTGACTAACCCTGTATGTGTAGAATGGAGCAATTGGCCATCTGCAGGTAGAATGTTTGGGCAGAACACATGGAGCAATGCTTTTCTTCTGCTTTACCTAACCCCATAGAGATCAGTTCTTCTTTTAATAATCATCTTTTTCGTTGTGTGCTCACTACTTGTAGATGTGCACTTTGAAAACGAGATGCAGCACAATGTAGGACTTGGGTTGCAAGAAAAAATATGAACTACTTCACTTTTAACAATTTGGCTTCATCGGCATGGCCAGTCATCCTATCTGTGCAGCTGTGTAAGGACCCTTTTAGGATGTAGGGGCCCATTTACATTATTTGTGAGTCCGGTGGGTCCCAGGATCCTTTCTCACTGTCTTGTAGAGCTTGACACAGCTCACTTCTATCTAGCTGTCAATTGATACACAGGAAGTGTATTTACTTGGCCAGCAGTTGAATAGGAATGGGGGTGCCCAAAACTGGCCTTGCACAAGGGGCCCTTTGGTGACCTTGTCTGCCACTATTCACCAGTATATGATGCATGTAGATAGGCCAGTAACAAATTCAACCTCTTGTTATTGGAATGCTATTAAGAGCTAAGTTGCATTAGTGATTCCAGCAACTAAATGAAGTAGAAAAGAAAACCATTATAGATTACACATAGTTGCAGCATTATATGATCCTACATCCAGGTAACTAAGCCTGTTCTATTCATGCTTCTATCAGAGATATCATTGTACTTTTTATTAAGCAGTTTTGGCTCTTCCTGTGCATTTGGCACAGAGGATTCACCTATCCCATAGGTTACCACAGTGTTTCTGTAGTAGATGGATTTTCAAACTTCCAGGTAGTTGCATTTAAGTGTATCTGAACCCAAAAACTAAAATTTAATAATTTGCAATTTACCAGCCCTTAGATGTGGTGGCTGCATTAGTTTACATTTTGCAGGCTTTTTCCTTTAATCTCACATGGTAGTCCTGCGAATAACACACTTCTTGAACCTTTTACATCTATGCTTTTTCCCCCCACTGTATATGTCATGGGGGCAACCATGGTTGTCACACAGTTAGAATTCAAACATTTGCATTGATAGGACTAGCAGTTTACACAGTTAAAATAGGCTTCTTTGTACTTTCAGGAAGTGACAAGGACACTGCAATTGTGGCAAAATCAGCAGGTATTTACAGTGCCTGCTAAAAATTTTATTAGCCTGAAGAGTAAAAACTAATGCAGCCACATCTGAGGACTGGTAATCTGCAATACATTCTATTTTTTAGTTTGATAAACTATCAATAACATTTTAATGCTTTTCATATGGTTTATTAGACTCTGTAGGCAGACTAGCCAATTTCACCTACAACTGCCCTAAGCATAGTTAAAAGTAGCCCATATTTCTCAAGCTTTAGAAGCACACTATATGAGACTATAAAACATGACCAGTCATGGCCTATAGTCATAAGTATGGGCAGACAGAACCAGGGGTAGTCTAAACGCCATTGCATTCGTTATTTTCGGAAATAGGATGTAAATTTGCCTACCACGGTGAATATCTCTGAAGAACGGCAAATTCAGACTTTTCCAAAATTTCTTTAAGTGCTGAATACACCTCTGCCCCACCACATGCTGTGCATGCAAAATTGAGAAAAGGGTTGGTGGCTTCAACCACAGAGATCTGTTTTCTTGGTGACTCATTAATAGTTGATACGGAGATTCCCAGACTTTGCTTATTAGCCGTTAGGTGGTAGTGCTCAAATGCACTCCTCATAAGATCCTTCCAGTGCTCATGTAGAAACACCAGCGTTTACATGTTTTCAGACGTCTTTCATAGCAGGTCAGTAGAAATTAACAAGATCTGTAGAAATAAATTTGGAGGCATAAAGTGCATAAGGAAACAGGCTACAGTCTGCTGAACTCCAGGCACAAAAACTTTAATTGAAATATATTCTTCAGTAGCCACAAAGGATACTTTTGTGTGCACCAAATGCCCTTGGAAACCTACAGATTACCATATAAAAGTAGCAGAAACATCATCACTGTGCTGTACATAGCCTGTGCTGAGAGCAGAGCTGTGGGTGGGACCCAGCTGGTTTGCCCACAACAGGCTGCATTCAGAAAACTACAGGAGGAGGGTGGCTACAAGACCAGTCACCCTGCACACGGAGATAGAGCAACCGGGACTGGTCTTTATTACAGTAAGTGAACGCATTTTATTCCCTTCAGGCTTATAAGAGATATAACTGATATACAATTTAATACCAATTACGTGTATTATTAACCCTGATAAAGGATGTGTTTGAGAAATCCCAATATGGATGAAAGTGTACTTCACTATACTGAATAATTAAGGTAGACAGGAATATTAGTATGGCCATTTTTTTTTGTTTTTTTTCCCTGTTAACTTGCCCAGACAAATTCACAGTCCTGGGGTAAGTGTCATTACCCAGACCAGAGCTAGAGAATATATGATAATTATATACATGCAAATAGCTTACAATTACATAATAAGTGGAGCTGGTAGATTCGCCAAACATTTGCCTCTTTACTAGCAGCTGTTGATTTTTTGTTTTTTTTACATTTTCCTTAAAGTTGCACTTTAAACCATTTGAATCCAGTGGCTGCCAGCTCTACTGACCAAGTGCCAGTATAGGCTTATTGTAAAAGATGTATGTGTTTCCCTATGTTACATGTATTTAGTTTCTTGGTTTTTAATGTTGAGCATAGTATTGTAGTGGTCTGTTACGAAACAGGAAATGCCCATTCCTGACATGTACATGCATTGCATGAAGTTACAATGTAGTATACAATCTCTGTGCCATTCTATGTTGTGCTTTTTTTCTGCTTTTTAAGACCCTCACTAAGAGCATTTTATAGGATGACCTGTCATGGCATAATTTGTCCATAGAAACAAGGGCTATCCTCGGGAACAAAATCTGCCAGCTTTTTCTGGACTGTCCATAGAAGGCCTCCCAAGTGCATTCTATTGGCAATATATCCAGGGATTAGACTGAGATCGTGTCATTGTAGCTGCGCTCTATATTAGGGGTCAGCTTGCTGCTAGGCAGATGTTCTATCTATAGCCCCGTTGTATTTGATTACATATCTAAAAGAGGCAGGCGACACCAGGGTTCATATTTACTAAACAGCCATGTTGCAGACACCTGCCAAACACTACATGATGACCCACAGCCTCACTTGAATGAGCTCATCTTGTCATAGCATTCCAACCTCCGGATGCCAAGTATAACGTGTTAAGAGCAAGCAGAGCTTAGTCTTTCAACAAGTCTGTCATAACTACCAAAAATGGCACATTACATATAAGCAAGATAGCAAGTGCCTTGCAGTATGAAGTCATTTAGATGTTTTGTGCCAACGGTATCTCATTAACAGATACTATGATGCAGTATTACATTGGTCTCAGCTGTGCAGTA